CGATCACATTCGGCGTTCATCTGATTCACCCTCTCCGTATATCACACACACGCACCTGCTAGTACAATCGATTCTAAAACAATGAGAGTTCGAAGTTTTGCCTCCGTAAATCTGTTCCGAAAACGAAAGGCGATGATTAATCGATCGCCGTTCCCTCAATTTACGATGCGGAATTCGAAGCGATCGATGAGAGTCGAATTCGGTCGAGAACGTACGCGAACGTGGATCGATCATCGTGAGAGTAACAACGCGGCGGTTATCCGTGGAAAAAGATCGCATGGATCAGTCGAAGTCTGCGGAAAAACTGTGAAAAACGTCGTCATCGAGGACAACGACGACGACAAAGACAACGTGGACGACGCCAGTCGATGGCGACCATCCATAGGCGAGCTCGTCGCTGCCGGAGCTCGTACATTTGAACGACAATATGTATCGCGCGTATGTGTATGAGTGAGGTTGTAAGTTCCACAGGCGAGGGAAGGCGAGAAAGATAAGGGAAACGTGGGTAGACTCGCGCTGCTCGTAGCCCCGATAAGAGATCGCACCCAACGTAACCCCCGCGTCTGCACCCAGCGAATGAACGACTAGTGGCAGCAATCCTTACGGACAACCAAAGTGAAGGTGGGGAAAAGGGAGAGGAAAAAGGAAGAGAAGAGAGAGAGGGGAAAGAGAAAGAAAGAGAGAGAAAGGGAGAGAGAGAGCGCGCGCATGACTATCATCAAATGATATTCTCAGTATGGTTTCTTAGCACCTTCGAAGCCGCAAAATATTTCATGTATATGCGCGACGATAGATACACGTTTCCAAGTATGATGACCGTACTTTGCGAGCCGATACCGGAAAAAGACTTGCAATTTGTTTTACGAGATCGCCGCCGACGATGTTCGACCACGTTTCGCTCTTAACCATATCCGTTCGATTTATCGTTATTATTCCAAGAGCGATTTGCGAGAAGTGATGGGTACGTATGTGATGGCCAGTTCCGAAAGGTGGAAAAAGTGACTCTATTTTTAGAGAGAAATTTAGACGTTAAATCTCCCGTTTGGTGTATATTCGCTATTATTT